TCTTTCTTTTAGTGAGTGTTTCTATGTTGATGTTGACATCAAAGGTGAATATATCCTCCTGAGGTTTCCATCGCATACCTAATACCCTTTGCTCGGAGTCAATCATAACCACTTTGTCTTGCTTGATATCTATGCCTTGTACTTGCTTGTTCGAGGTCCAACCTTTGACAGAGAAACCGCCACTACTAAGTACCTTTTCTACGTCATGGATTATCTTGCTTGCCTCCTCCTTAGTTCTGACAGATGGGCAAATATCGTCCATATAAGTGTCTCTTTTAAGGATCGTTGCTGCTTCTGGATACTCTATTTCATTTTCCCTTGCTGTCAATCTTAAAGCGGTCTGTGCCATGGTAGGGGCTGGCTTGTCTCCAAACGTTAGTCTTAGCTTTATATACACATCAGGAGCTCGGTTAATTTCAAGATTTCTCCATAGGTATCTATGGACGTGTTGATCTCGTTCCGGAATCGCCACCCGGTGGTACATTTTGGATATGTCGGCACACAGGGCCACTTCATTTTCTCTAAATCGCAAAAGAACTCCCAGTAAGTTATTTAGCAAGTCCGGTCCTTTGACCCAATAGTCATTGATGGCCTCTCCTTCATACCTATTAGACGAATTGAACACAATTCTCACTGGCGTGGTCTTGCTGTCCGGACGAACTACTGAATGATGCGGTATGTAATGCACAGGTCCAGGTTAGTTGTTGACTTCGGACTCCTCTAATTTTCTTGCAAACCCCATTGTTACCATTTCCTCCATTTGTCTTTCATATGCTGCTGCGTGATCAGGGCTCTTTAACAACCTTCTTTCTAGGCTTCTCAACATTCTCTCTGCTTGTGCTTTGTTATCTTTAAGTTCATAAGGATTCCTAATCCATGGATACGGTACTGTCCACTTGTTATCTACTTTAGTACACGAGTCTTCAATCAGTTTTCCCTCAATTTCTTCATTAGCTAACTGGGCTTTCTTGCAATCACATTGTCCAATATCCACTCCCAAACTTTCCAGAGTCCAAAATTTTGTAAGGTCTACAGGAGTATGAATTATGACATTCATCACTTGATGTTTATTACTTGAATCATTCCTATTCCCTCCAAATACAGTCCATCCTAATGGGGAATTTTGTACTACCATGCCATCCTTTTCCTTCATTTTTCCTACATGTAGTTTTGGGTAATTAACACCTATCAAAATATCTACTTCCCCACCCTTTCGTTTCAACACATGTGGCTCCAGCTGGAACTGATCTTCAATTTGTCGCATATCCGCTTCTGCT